AAAAAAAAAAAATAAAAAAATAACTAATGAAAATATATATATACTATAAATATACTTTTTTTTACAGTATTCCTATCTTGGATTTTCCCATGTGTGTTATTGGAGAACAACCAGATGTATCTCTTGATAATCTTGAAACTGGAGACAATTCACCATGTTCATGGAGAAATGTTTTTTCTTGCATTAATTTATTACGTATTCTTAATAAATTGACAAAATGGAAACATAGTAGAATTATGGTTTGTATTTTTTTTTGTATTATTTTTATTATTAATTATTATTAATTAATTTTGTTTATTTGCTATGAATATTTTAACTTTTATTTATTTTATAGATGTTAATCGTTTTTAAATCAGCACCCATATTAAAACGTACATTAAAAGTCAGACATGCAATGATGCAATTATATGTTTTAAAATTACTAAAAATGCAAACCAGATATTTAGGACGACAATGGCGAAAAACTAATATGAAAACAATCAGTGCAATTTACGCAAAAGTTCGACATCGTCTGAATGATGATTGGGCTTATGGAAATGGTAAAAATAAAAAATAAAAAAATAAAAAAATATCATTTATAAGATATTTAATATCTTATGTAATATATCTTATATAGTATAAAATGTATTTGATATAAACCGTTATAACTAATTTATTTTCATTTAGATTTAGAAGCACGACCTTGGGATTTTCAAGTAGATGAGTGCGTATTACGTTCTTGTGTTGACCGATTTAATAATCTACGATACACTAATGTCCCTAAAGATAAAGATATGGAACCTGTTGATAATTCTGTTACGTCGGTACTCGGAGTAAATGTGGAATTAAGCGATGAATTTAAACAACATTATGAATTATGGTTACAACAAGAAGTATTTCAAAGAAGTATTAATTGGGACGAATTATTAGATCCTGAAGCGTGTGAGATTTAAATTTTTAATAAGTGTAATATAATATATATATATATTAAAATCGTATTTTCGTCAACTCATAGACCTGGATCAAATTTTGACGTTTTTATAAATTATATACTATTGTGAAGTGTTCAAAAAAAACATTGCCATATCGATGCATTGGAAACTGAATTCATATTTGGTTTATATACATTGAACAATGAATGGTCCTAATCTAACGAACATTTAACACAGAGACTAGTGATTTTTCAAAAATAGTTTATGACATAATGTGTAATTTTTTTACATTTGTTTGTGTGTATTTAATTTGTTTAATGTATATTGCTTATAGCAATATGTTATTACTATTATAGTTGTAAGTGAATATATATAATCATTATGAAAAACTAGGATAAATTTATTCAAAATATGATTCATATAAGTTTCTGTAAATTAATTTTTAATAATATAACGAACTGCGAATTGTATACCAATTTAAACTTCCTATATTCTATATAATTTTTATATGTACTCTATTTTACTGTGACTTGTCATTGTATAGTGATAATATTTATCATGATACAGTCTACAATGGTATTTACAAACATATAAATCTTAATATGTATAATGTATTAATTTAACTTAAACTGCATTTTTTAAAATTTGCTAATTTTGTACATTAAATATGTTTTATTCATTATTAAATGTGGCAGTAATGCGTGTTTGACCTGTGTGTTACGTATAGATAATCTCTTTATATGAGACAGAAAGAGAAAGATGAATAGTGAAATCAGTTGTATATAAATTCATAATGCAAAAATTTATGAAGCACTCATATGGTGCTTTTCTATCATAGAATTATTTCATTTAATAGCTGAATATTTAAAATATAGATTATATAAATTATAGACTGAATAATTAAACTTTCTCTTATTTATTTATTGTAATGTATATTTAAATAATTTCAGCGCAAAGTATCACATGATTATATTATTTTATTCACAGTATAGGATATTTTTTGTGATTGACGTGATTTAAATCGTCAAAAGTAAATAAAGTTATAGTCTACATATAAGTTGTAATTTTTAAATCGTTGAAAAAATTTTTAAGGAGTTATCTATAAATTACATTTGTTGTATAAAAATATATGTATAATATATATATATAAAACACTTTATATTTACTATAAATTATATTTCCTGAGATAATATCTAAAAATGACACATATTATCTGCATATAGTTTAATTAGTAAATTATATTTTACATTTGAAAATTAGTTCAAAAAATAAATGAATTAAATTTCTAATAAATTAGATTTTATACAGAATATAAAATTTCAAAATTTGAGGCACTTTTGTGTTAAATATATGGAATGTTATAATCACAGATGATGATTAATGGAACAATTTTTTGTGATCTGTATATATATATATATGTATAAT